AGTCAATTATGATGTTACAGCCAGTTAGAGTTGTGTCTGGCACTTCCAAATATGATCACATCTTGCCAATTTTAAAACAACTACACTGGCTGCCTATCAAAAATAATGCTCTGTTTAGAACTTGTGTTATAATATTTAAATGCATCAATAACTTGGCACTTAGATGTTTAATAACAAAACCGCCAGTAAATCAACCCATTGTGTCAGTTTGCAATCTGACGAGTTAAATTTCCTGGCGGTACAGACGAGCCAGTTAAGAATATGTTCTAGAAAATTGCTGTTTCAACTCTTATGATATGGAACAATCCCCTAAGCCATTTACGGGATCCTAGTTTAAATCTGTTGACATTCAGAGGACCGGCAAAGGCTTACTAACAAACAGACAGACAAACACATACACACACACACACACACACACACACACACACACACACACACACATGCATACATACATAGATCTACTTGATCGTGTCATCATTCTTCAAATGCAAGCAAATAGATTCATATTTTGTACATCCTCATATAAATATATAAACACATATAAAACTTATTGTTGTCTATATAATTTTTTTATTTTCAAAAATAAATTAATTATTTTTAAAATTTCAAATATGTTTTTTCAATTTTTCCTTGAATTTTTAATAAAGTTTTTTTGGAAAGCTTACGACTCACACTCAAGCACGAATCAAAAAAATTTATCTGTCTGTATGTTTGTGTGTATGTGTGTGTGTGTGTATGTGTGCGTGTATGTGTGTCTGCGTATGTTTATGCTTATGTATATGTGTGTTTGTGTGTATGTGTGTACATGTGTGTTTGTGTGTATGCGTGTGTATGTCTGTGTGTGTGATTATGCATTTTTGTTGTTTGGTTATATTTGTGAAAAAAAAAATAAAATAAATTTTTTTTTTCTTTTCAAAGAGACATTTTAAAAGAGGACTTTAATTAAGTAGATAATAATGTATGTGAGTTAAGATGGCCTATAAATTTGTTTGTGTGTTTGTTTGTTTATTTGTTTGTTTATTTATTTGTTTCTTTCTTTCTTTGTTTAATTGTTTTGTATAATTATCATATTTTTCATTAAATGCCAGTTTATTAGTGTTTCTGTTTAAATTTATTTTTGTATGTTTGTTTTCATGTTTGTCTTTTATTTGTCTTTAGTTAGGAGCAAGGGTAAACTTGGACAACATAAAGATGGTGTTTCAGTCTGTTACATATTTGATAACAGACAACGCAGAATCACAAAGGCTACTAGGCAAGCCGTTCCAGACAGCAGAACCCATTAGAGAGAAATTCCTTTGACAATAAACTGACGGTAAAAATTGAGTCTTTGATTGATTTAATTTAAGTCTATTTGCCGTCATCCTCTCATTAATTTCTGAGAGGCATGATCTAAGTCTATAGACAAGACCATCGTAATGATATAGGGGGCACTAGAATTGATCTGAATATTATCAGCAAAACCGTGATGTTTGAATCATATCTGTCAATGATATTAAAAACATCTGCGGTGTACAACACTGCCGAGAACAGACCCCTAAGGAACACCGTAGGACAATGTTTCAACATGTGTCAAGTTAGATCGGAACAGAATTTGTTGTGTACGACCAGAGAGGTGTGACTCAATCCGTTGAAGTACAACCTTCGATACTCCAAATGAATATTGGAGCTTGCGTAAAAGTAATGAAGGATCGACACAATCAAAGGCAGAGCTCATATCTGAAAGAGCAAGCAGCGACACATTCTGAGCAACTGTGGAGGAATAGAAATTAGAAGAAACATCCAATAGAGCTATCTCAGTCGAATGGAACTGACGATAACAAGATTGCTTAACCGGAATACATACATACATACATACATACATACATACATACATACATACATACATACATACATACATACATACATACATACATACATACATACATACATACATACATACATACATACATACATACATACATACATAGATACATACATACATACATACATACATACATACATACATACACACATCCATTTGTTACTTGATGTTTGACGGTTACATACATACATACATACATACATACATACATACATACATACATACATACATACATACATACATACATACATACATACATACATGATTACATACATACATACATACTTTAAAACGTGGGTGACATTAGATTTAATTAAATAATTAATTAAATTGTTAAAATGTGAAAAAAGAAAGAGAAAAATAATTTTTTCGTGTTTTTTATCTCGCATACGGCGAGAAAGTTTTTGAAACTATGCCAACAATTTAATTTGTTTTTCAATCATTTTTTTCTTTTCAACAGTTTTGAATTGCAAATTATGACGCTTTTTTGATTTTTTTTGTGTTTTTTGACGTTTTTTTTATGTTTATTAGTTTTGGCTCCGGTTAAAATTTGACGGAATTTTTAAAAAATTTTAAGCGGAGAGTTTCATGATGCTTATAAAATTTCGTGTTATTTTCTTTGCTGTTTTTGCTGATATTTTAAGTTTTATTTAATTATTTCAAACGTTTAGTTAATTTATATGGTAATAAATATAGTAACTATTGTCGGTTAAGTAGTATTTTGAGCCATTAAAGTATCTATTAAAAAATGCCAGTGTAATGCGCATGGTCATTTCATTGTAGTTTGCTGTGTGTGTGTGTGTGTGTGTGCATGTGTGTGTGTCTGCGTGCGTGTGTGTGTGTGTGTGTTTGTGTGTGCGTGTGTGTGTGTGTATGTGTAGCTCCACGTGTTTCACTCTATCAAAATGCTTTGGAGTAGTCGACGAAACAAATATAAACGAGTCTTTCTTCATTTCAATGGCTCGTTCGCTGATCATTCGTAGCATGGAGATGGTGTAGTTTCTTGTGCCACAATCCTCCACAAAACCACATTGGACATTTCAAAGTTCAGATCTGATTCTGCTTCGTCCTCTCATCAGAACTATCAAGAGAAGTTTTGTAAGATGACTCATCATGTTGATTGCTCGATGTAGTTCACATTCAGCAGCATTAGGTTTTTTAGGCGATGCTATAAATTTTGACTTGGATAGATCTTCAGGAATTTCGCCGCTGTTATAAATCTCATTCAAAATTTCTGCCACTTTTTCAATGCCAAATTCATCAAGGCGTTTAATTTCTTCAACAACTATCTCATCTTGACCTGGGCTTCATTTGATTTCATTTTGGAAAGGGTGGCACAAACCTCAGTGTCTTTGGATCTAATTATATTTATAGAGCGTCTATAAAACATGCAATATTTAAACAATCGGCTAGAAATACTATTTTATAAAATAATTAAATAATTTTAAAAATAAAATAATAAAAACAAAAAAAAATTATAACAATAATAACCAAAAAGTAAGAATAAGAACAGCAAAAAAATATTTGTAATATAGGAGATGTAATGGGAACGTAACCATACATAAACATCATCCGCTCCTACTCCAAATTCAATTTAAAACTTAAAATTTCAAAGTTTCAACCCTTTGTGAGAAAATCAAATAAACTTTGTTAACAAAGCAAATTCTTTTTTATGTTTTTATTGTTTTTATTTTTTTCTCTATGCTCTCTTTTTTGTTCTCTTTCTTTCTTTCTTTTATTTTTTTCATTCATTTATTTCCATACTATTCATCTTTTTATATTCTTCTCACTCATTTTCTCTCTTTCTCTCTCTCTTCTCTCATATCTTTTCAATTTTTGTAAAAGCATTGTAAACCAAAATGGTGGCACAACTAGAAAAAAAAGAACAAGAAAAACCGAGTTTTTTCAACTTCGATTTTTGTTTGTTAAGCCGTTTGACGACGGGAACGAATTTTCTAAATGAAAAATGTTTATTGAAATTCTTCAAAAAGCAGCCCTCTCCATCTGTGCTAAATAAACTCTCCAGAATGAGAAATAATTATGAAAAAAAGACATAAAATGATGAAGTTTTGTATATACAAACGTACAACAACAAAAAAGTTTGTATATACAAACATGCTACCATAAAACATTGTACATCTACGTACATGCAAACATCAACATTTTGTATATGCTAAGGAACATCAGCGCATTTTGTATATACAAACACCAAAGAAACAACAAATACAACAATTCAGTTTGTATACCCCGCCAACAACACCATACATTCATACACAAACCACTTAGTATATACAAACCACCTCATACTGTGTTTTGTATACAAAGAACAAACATACATAAACTCAGACATGCGTATATCAATTTCAGTATCCAACTTACCAATAGACATTGTTCACAAGTAGAAAGCAAGCCAATCTCACTGAAAATATATAAATTAGATATTTTATAAACAACGTAAATCAACACTCAATCGACAGCAGCAATACATAAATAAACAAATGAACAAAACTAAGAAAACTAAACAAAGACTAAACAAAGACTAAACAAACAAAACAAGAAATCAACCAAACCAGCAACGCGAATATTATCAGAAAATAATTTAAAAAGAATAAAATACTAATAGTAAGAAGAAAAATAGTTGTAATAATATGAAGGAGAAAAAGTAAATAGAGGAATAGAGAAGATCTAATTGCGCGCGTGGAGACCAATGTTAAAATGCGAAATAAATCTTAAAAACGTCGTCAACCAGTCAGTCAAATCAAGCGACAATTCGAATTTTTCTTTTTTTTTTCATTTTTCTTCTTTTTTTTCTTTTTTTTCTTTTTTCTTTTTTTTCTAGTTGTTTTATTAGTTTGGGACAAATCTAAAACTAATTTGCAGCTCTCAATTTCAAACGTGTCTATGCGAAGCGCGTGCGTGTGTGTGTGCGTGTGAGTTTGTGTGTGTGTGTGTGTGTGTGTGCGTGCGTATGTATGTGTGTATGTGGTGTGTGGTATGTGTGTGTGCGTAAATGTATTTTTCAGCAAAAATGTGTGTATGTAAATGTATTTTTCAGCCAAAAAAAAAATAACAAAAAAAAAACATTTCTCAAGTTGAGTTTGTATTGGTCCGTCTGTTTTCTGTGCAACCAATCAGAGAGATAGATCGCCAGTCACGTGGCAATTAGGTGGGAAACAATTTAATTATTTGGCGCTACGTAAAAGTTATACAAATTTTTTCCAGTTGTACGCAATAATGGAAAGGTAATTTCCTGACGTGCGTGTGTTTCTTTGCTGTTGTTGTTGTTGATGATGATGATGATGATGATGATGTTGATGGTGGCAATGATGGTGGCGATGATGGTGGTGATGATGATGATGATGGTGGTGGTGATGATGATGTTGATGGTGGCAATGATGGTAGCAATGATGGTGGCAATGATGGTGGTGATGATGATGACGATGATGATGACGATGATGATGACGATGACGATGATGATGACGATGATGATGATGATGATGATGATGATGATGATGATGATGATGATGATGATGATGATGATGACGATGACTAGAGTAATGATGATGATGACGAAGATGATGACGATGGTAAATTGTGATGGTAATGTCGTTGTTTAAGGCGTGTGATTGAGACGACGATTGTTTTATGCCTCTCTCCTCCATTCTTATCTCTTTTGTTTATCCTTTTGCCTTTTGGTGCAAACATACCAGCAGGAACAAACAAACAAACATACAAACAAACAAACAAACGAATATATATACCTACATACACACATACATGCATGCATACGCATACATATGTACTTGTACATATATACAATAAATAGCGGGTTTTTTGGCATGCTTTTAACAGCATGCCAAAAAGCATTTCTTTAATTAAATACGGCTTAAACAAGGAGCTGAAAAACTGTTTATAACATACAGACTGTGGTGTTAATGTTTTTTGTATGTTTATTTGTATGTTTGTTTGTATGCATGCATTTAGGCATGTGTGTATGTATGTTTGCTTGTTTGTTTGTTTGTATGTATGTATGTATGTATGTATGTATGTATGAATGTATGTATGTATGTATGTATGTATGTATGTATGTATGTATGTATGTATGTATGTATGTATGTATGTATGTATGTATGTATGTATGTATATATGTATGTATGTATATTTTTGGCACGGTAAGACAGATTTCTTTGACAATCGGATGATTGTATAATTATTTTGTGTGTGGATTTCTTTGTAAAAAAAATTGTCATGTCTAGAAACATCGCTTGTTTGTTTGTTGTTTTTTTTGTGGGTTTGATTGTTTGTCTGTGTGCTTCTTTGTGTGTGTGTGTTTTTGTGCGTTTGTTTATTTGCCTGTTGAGTTATTTTTTTATCTGTTCGTTTTTTTTGTTCGTTCACTAGTTTGTTCGTTCACTAGTTTGTTCGTTCACTAGTTTGTTTGTTTGTTTGTTTGCTAATTTTTTTCTCAGCTCTTTTGGTCTTTGTAGGGCCCTTACCATCTGTTTTTTGGCTTACCCTTTCAAAAATTTTAATTTCGCCATTAACGACATTTGGAAAATAATTTAAGATCTTTCATTTGAGCAGCGCTATATAAATAACAAAATGTTACAGAACGCATAAAGAGACGTACGAAATGTGTCTTCCATGCAAATGTAAACATAAACAAAGACATAAACAAAGACAAAATAGCGTTGACCGAACAAAGAATAAAAACATCCAAAGGGAGAACATGCATAGATAAAAAAGCGTAAACAAGAAAAAAAACAATGTAAGCAAGGCAGCATAGACAAATAAATCCATTAATATGTAAAACAAAAGATAAGTAACACCATGGAAATATAACACAATAGACATAAAACACCATAGAAAAATAATACCAGAGATATCTAAGGCCATAGATATCAAAGACCATAGATACGTAACACCAAAGATATGTAAGCGTATGGACTGACCGATGATAATGATGATAAATTAAGTTTGAAGGTTCTAGGCAGGCTGAAGTTAGCTAATCACATTAAGGAAAGCTGGCATCATCATTATCATGATTTTCAGTTTCAGCATCATCATCATCATCAATGTCATCATCATCATCATCATCATCAACAACAACAACAATATCATCATGACCTTCATCTGCATTATCATCATCGTCATCTTATCCCTATCATTCAGACATATACACACACAAATACATACATACACACACACATACACCCACAAATATATACAAACACACACATGCTTACACACTGTTCAGTGCCATTCATCACGTTTTGGTTTTAACGCACAAGCACACACAAGCGCGCGCGCACACACAACCCATACACACGCACACACACACACACCCAAACTGGCTGTTTATTTTTTGATTTATCTGTATTACATTATTAGGTCATTTAGATGTTTGTGTGTGTATCTATCTACCGTCTCTAAATATATGACCGTTATTTTAATCTATAATGTCCGCCTGTGTTTGTGTGAGTGTGTGTATGTAGGTGTATGTGAATATGTATGTGTGTGTGCGTGTGTGTGTGTGTTGGTGTTTATTCGTGCGTGTGTGTTTTGTTTCTTTTCATTTTCAGATGTATAGGTGGTTTTTTAATGTATTATACCCGTGTATTTTTGATACGCGACGTATA